GTCGCCGTCGACGGGGCATCAGCCGACGAGAATCTGCGGAGCCGCGGGCACTGCGCCTTCTCGCGTTTCTTTTGCACTCGAGACAGGACGAAATGCACACAGAGAGGTCGAAGAACAAAGGGGCGAGGGAGGCGAAGAAGGAAGGCGAACGGTAATCGAAGCGAAACGTCGCTAACCTAGACTCTCGCGCCGGTCACCGATTCTCCGTTCAATCGATAGAGCGCCGATGGTGCGTGAAGGCCGCATTTTCTACCGCATTGCGATATACATATCGCGTGTCCGGCGATGTCGCGCCGCCCGCAGCTCGACGTCGTCGAACGCCGGGGTAAAACGACCGCGGAAGAACCGCGACCGTACGTTGACCTCCGTTTTGAGGCGAGAGAGCCGCGTATGCGCGACAAATTCGTGCGAGGGTACTGTACGGTCATGGTCAGAAAGGTTGTCCGACGTTTTGCAACAAGTTTTCGGAATATTCGCGCGTACACCCACAGAAAAAAAATTTCCGGATAAAATGTACGCGTACAACATGTGAGCACTGTGGCTGCTGGGCTCGAACTTTTATAATTCGACTCTGTCTTATGTGACGACGATGACTCACTTAGTGCTACTTGATAAGAACTATAAGATTCCCGTTTCAAAAAGTTAACCGATTGTTCGCGCAAATGTTCGGAGATTTAGAGAAAACTCCGGAGTCGTTTTACCGAAGCAATGACGAGTTATAGTAATTTTAATTTGCAATGAAAAACGTGCGGCCGCGTTGACTCAAATGACTGAAACGAATGGAAAAATTAAAAATACATCTCTGAACTAGGTGCGAACAGACAATAAGATTCTTCGTTGCCGAAACTACGAGAAGAGCACGCATTCGTCAAAGTCGCGAGTCTCAGCTGCCTTTTGCTACGATTGTACATGCAAGCGTCCTTAAACAAGGGCAAATGATGCATTGTTCTTATAAAGTAATTAGATTACGAAAGGATTAATCCGGGCGATAAAGACCGTTGCTCCCGAATTGGAGATAAGATGAGTCTCGCGACGAAAGAGAGAGACTGGCAATGAGTCACGCGAATCGCTGACAATCGCGGCTCGCTCCTGCCACTCGTGAATTTGCAAATCACGTGTGTGGCGTAAAACGTCGGGCCGAAGGTCGAGAGCGTATCGAAAAGTATGTGCGTGTGTCGCAAGTCTCTTATCTTACGCCCGGAACGTACGGATTATCGTGCGTGACGCATTCGATCGGTGGTCAAATCAGAGAGAGAGAGAGGCCGTCGCGGCGCGAGAATTTTTTCGACACCGAGCAGGCGATAACGGGAAGGGAAACAAATAGTAGCGCCTTGAAATAATAGCGCGGTCCTCGCTTCGCCTCTTTCACAAGCCAGTCGTCCCTTCGGACGAAATGCTTCTCGTGATAAAGCGTAAGCCGAATTGATTAGAGCACTCGGCACTTGCGATCTGAAGATTAGAATGTCACGCCGATTGTTCATCTTCGTTTCGCGCAGGGTATATTTTTAAATTTCAAGCTGGCATCGGCAGCGGACTCGCTCTTTGATTTTCGCGCGTATCACACGATCGTCTTGTTATCAATGATTATTGTATGCGCACAATAAATAATTATTATCTCTTTTCGCAGTGATGCTGGTTGTTTGGCAAGGAGCCCGCCGTTGCCTGAGTTGCAGCGGGCAGCGCACTAATCAGGGCCATCAATTCCACCAGAAGCACCATCGTCGCGAGCCGATCGGCGAGAAGCTCGACCGGTATCATCTCGTTCGATCCAGGTAAACGATCCGGTTATTACCGAGCGCTGTTTTCCCATCGATGGCGGCATTTTCGTTACGTGATCAGCGTTATCTGTTATTCTTCCCGTGAGCACTCGATGAGGAAGAATTGCGCAATATTGTCTCGAGCTGAACAATCGTCGGCGCGCGGGGACAGCTCCAATGTTATATAGACCGTGATCGAGAGACGCGGTAACATGAAAATAAATTCCATTTCGTTGTTACACAATGTGCGCGATTGAAAGAAACCTTTTGGAGGTAAAACATCGTCAATTTATCGCCCGCGTTTCAGTTCGTATTGGCTTCGAATTGATATATTTCAAGAGCATTTTCGCCCCTGCGAATGGATCAATTGATACACGAAACGATACGCGCAAAGCTACTGTGTTTCATCGAAAATAATTAGGGTGGGACAATGAAAACTCGAAAATTGTATTATTTATATAATTTATTGCCTGTTTAAACAAACGCCCGCAAGATTATTCGCATAGAGTCGGCGGGACCGACGCGGTGGTTCATTATCCTACCGTCCGCGATCGAAACGCGTACTTGATTCAGCTAATCATGCACGGCTAAGTTTTATGCGTGCACGAGCGTGTGCGTGTGCGCCGTCGTTACTCGTACGCGCCTCGTCGACGGACTCGAACGAGAGAGAGAGAGAGAGAGAGAGAGAGAGAGAGAGAAAGAGAGACAGACGAGGTAATTCTCCGATGACCCGACCGTTTAATCGCAGGACGTTTGCGAGAGGAAAATTTTCCAATGGCGATCCGAACGGCAGTCCGAAACGCACCCAAACGGCGTGTCTCGGGCGTTTCTTGGAAGTCGTCTCGCGAGGTTCTGTCCCGTCGGTTAACTCGCTTGAGTCACCGGCCGGCTACACCGTAGGAATACCTGCGAGTGAATAATCGGAAAAATCGTCACCTGACAGCGCGCTAAAATCCACGTGCGGGAAATACAAAGGTCGTAAGAAAATTAATCGTCTAAAAATCCATTGTCTCCAATCTCCGTCGTCGATCTCGCAAAGTAAGTACAGCGGATTGTTTTAAGACTCGCGAAAATAATTTGTTATACCTTCAGAATTGCTTCGAATTGAATTGCTGTACACACAATTGATAAGTTGTTGGTGAAAACGTCAGGAAACGTGGTTCGATCATTAATTTTTTAAGTATAGCGGAATCTTTTAGGAACAGTTGATCTCGCGAAAAATATATAGCAACTATTTTTTTACAACTTTTTGAAGTTTAATTATCTAATGATATGGACACCACTCTCTTC